CATAAAAACTATTTTAGATAATTTAATTCCCTTCAATTTGAACGGTTCCGCAGCCTAGGAAAATGATTTACAGAAAATATGGATTACTGCTAAAAAAACATTTTCACTTTAAAAAAATGAATAAAAAGTGAAAAATGAATCGTTACATTGATTGTGAGTTTCAGGAAAAAACGACAAATTTAAACATTCCGGGTAGGTACTAGGACAAAAATCGGAGCATTTTGAAGTTGATAATTGTTGTTAATTTTGTCAGAAGTATCTATTAAACAATTGTAATAGACAAAAAAAAACGAAAACTAAGCCGCAAATAGACATTACCATTAATATTTCGTATTGTCCTACAAATTAAAAAATGTCCCGATATTTTTATTTTTACTACTCTTAACTTTGCTGAAAAAAAAAATTGTGGCTGGTTATGTGGGGTAAATAGTTAATCCTGAATCAGATACTGAGGTACTACGTTATAAGATGTTTTATGAGATCACAGCTAATCTTAACCATTTTGAATACCGATGGTTCAGTTTATTGATATTAATTGAGTTTTCTGAGGTGGGTCGTGCTCGCCTCTGCCCCCTTAGCTACGCCTATGTTACTAATATTAAAATTACAAGAGGGCCATCTATTAATAGTTCCTTCAGCTTAAACACACAGTCCTACTTCAGGAGAACAGTAGATGGCTCTAGTAGTTCTGGAGTTGACAAAGAGATTATCAGACAGAAAACGCTGATGTTTTTTCAAACATCTTTTTATTTAACGTAAAAAATGCATACCTGTTGGAAGTCGCTAAAACACATAGCAAAAAATATCGAGCATAAAAATACTTAGTACCATGGAAACTTTTCTTTTATTTGAGAAAGAAATTTAATACGCCGTCTGTAATAATTCATTTCGCATTCAGAAAAGTTCCAGTTTTTGTTATTAACATTTGGTTAAACGAGACTTCGGGGTTTAAAATGTTGCTGCGCCGCGAGATTTAGGGGTTAGAACAGTTTTAAAGAATTTACATAACGGCGCAATTTTACGTAATTCTCCGTACTAACACTAATAAAATTAAATTTAAAACCTTTTACAGGCGTTAATGTAACAAAGGAGGGGTTATTTATGATGTCTGTGTCGGAATATAAGCGGACATAATTTATTCCGCGTGACGTTTCGGATGCAATACGAATTCCATTTTTATTAAAGTCTGTTCGCGTTTTGATTCATTCCCTAGGATATCGCAGTGATTTTTAGAAATACTAATAAATTTCCCCGGCCGAAAACATCAAAAGTTTTAAGTTGTCCAATAAATTCAGGAGTATTTCTGTATCTTCTGGGTCCGGGAAATGGGAAAACTTATTATGTAAAACTTTTCAGCGGATAAACACCATTTGCAAATTAAATTTTGTTTTCAAGGCAGACGGACAGTTTTAAAATGTTCCCAAAGCGCACACATATTTTCATACGACGCCAACAAATAAGATACTGATGTACTTTTTATCATGGGTGTACATTTCATAATTTAAGATATTTACACTTAGGCGGTTCATATAGTAGCTTTAGTACTATTAATAAATAAAAATTTTATTTTTTCAAATCCATACTACGTTTTACATTTTTTTAATATCAAGCCATTCCGTTTTGGTAATAACTACCTATATTATAGTCTGTTTGGAAATGAAAGAGAGTAATAAAACCCCGAGATAAGAACCGGCCATGGGCGTGGTAATATTTCGTTTCAGGTAATTATCGGGTAACACTAATGCTAACAGGTAATGGGTGTACATTAGTATATTTTACTGGATACATCATAGGGCAGGAGCCAGTGTATTGTGACAGATCAATCCAGTCTTAGAGCTGAATATACGAAGACGTGCTAGTGCAGTAGAGTAAAATTCGACTTGTGTTTAGTGACTATTGTGCCAGTGGATATAATATTGTTTGGGTAAAATGTCGAGCTTATCAGATTACGTACCTGCTAAACGCGTGAAAAGATGTGCGCTGTCTCAGAATGAGAAGATTATTATATTAAATGTATTTAATGCATTGAAACACCAAAATCCTACCAACAGTGTTGACGACATCGTGGAAAAGTGTTCCAAAATGACAGGGATTGGAAAATCGACTATCTACAGACTTTTAAAGGAAACAAAAAATGAACAAGATACTGTAAATCCCCCAAAATCATCTACAGGGAGGTCAAAAGTCGTTATAGATGATTTCTTCAAAAATGTCATTCGCAGAAAAGTACACTCATTTTATTTTAAAAAAGAAATACCAACGCTAAACAAAATTTTAAGTGAACTTTCAGAGGACAACGATTTGCCAAAAATCAGTAGAAGCAAATTATGGGCCGTCTTACGAGAGTTGAATTTTTGCTGGGAAAAGCAGAACAGGAAGTCAGTTCTTATCGATAAAGATGAAATTATTTGTTGGCGAAGATCCTACTTAAGATCAATTAGAAAATTCCGTGACGAAGGGAGGAATATTTATTATCTAGACGAAACTTGGGTCAACGAGGGATATACTGTAACAAAAGTATGGCAAGATAAAAATGTAAAAAGTTTTCGACAAGCATTTTTGGATGGACTTTCAACAGGGTTCAAGGCACCTTCAGGTAAAGGGCGAAGATTAATAGTGACACATATAGGTAGTGCCAGTGGTTTTGTAGATGGCGGTTTACTTTTATTTGAATCTAAAAATACAGGTGACTATCACGAAGACATGAACGCAGATGTTTTCGAAGAGTATTTTACACAGATGTTGGATCTTATTCCTCCGGGGTCTGTAATTGTCATGGATAATGCCAGTTACCATTCACGGCAGACCGAGCGGACGCCTACGACTGCTTGGAGGAAAGCCGATATAATTCAATGGTTATCCGGAAAAAACATTTCTTTTGAAACAAATATGGTGAAAAAGGAACTTTTGACACTTGTCAATCTTAATAAAGATCAGAAAAAATATGTTATCGATGAAATGGCAACAAATCGCCAAATAACGGTACTACGGTTACCACCTTATCACTGTGAACTTAACCCAATCGAATTAGTCTGGGCGCAGGTAAAAGGAGATGTAGCGCGAAATAATACGACGTTTAAATTAAGTGACGTGAAAATTTTGTTAAAAAATTCCTTGGAACGAGTAACTGCAGATAACTGGCAAAGATGTATACATCATGTACAAAAAGAAGAGGAGAAAATGTGGGAACTCGATAATTTAATTGACGTTACTGTGGAACCTATCGTTATCAATCTAGGAGACGAAGATAATTCATCAGAATATTCAGAGGATGAATTTTAATATACCTACTTTTTTATTTTCTTTATTGTACATTTATACAACACTACATTTACTCACCATAATTTGAATTTTCAAAATACATATATTTTTGTGTGGAATAAAAGTCTATTCATTAAATTTAAATAAATATTTTGATAATAATATTGAATAATTTTATTTGAATTACTAAAAACCCTCTTAACCCGGTTATGATGCTTAAAGTAGCCTCATGTTTTGAAATGCTGTTTTTATATTGTTTACTTATAAGAGAAATGGACCGAGAAATTGAAGCGGCATAGACAAAGACGGATTGTCGGGGATTAAATTTTAGCTACCTGCTACAATTTAGTACAGTCCGATCGCACAAAGTTTTTTTAAAAGTACACCTCATCTATACGGAAAATACATAATATAAAAATATTGAATATAAGCACCAGTACTACATTTATTTACGATTTGCATACATAATAAGCTTTTATTACTCTCTTTCATTTCTAAACAGACTATAGGTATTGTGGTTCTCTTATTTTATTTAAAATATTTCTCAGAGCTATAAATAACAATAAAGAAGTAATAACTTTTCAGTTCTTACAAATCAAATTAAATCAAAATAAATCAAAACAATATTTAAAAATATAATTCAATATTTAAGAAACAAAATTATACAGGCTGTTACAAATTCGCTTCTCACTACAAGGATCTCGGAAACGGTAAGAGATACGAAATAGCTTAAATGGGACAAAGTTGCTTAAGCAGGGGACCAACATTATGCCTCTAAAGAATCAAGGCTAACATGATTAGTTTCCGAAATATTTGAAAAAAAAACGAAATTTTGGAAATCCGTTTTTATTTCGTTTCAATCCTGTTTGAGGGTGATATTGAAAAAAGAAGAACACTTTCTCATGGCAACTTTTTGCCCTCTATCGAATGGCACAATCAATTTTTATATTATAACATTTTGTCTCTCCAGGACCATAATCAACTTTATTTTTTAAATAAGACCCTGGAAATTTAATTACATTTTTTGCAAGCCTTCATGACCCCCCAATACTGTACTGCCCGAACCAAATTCAGACGTTTTATCTCGAAAAATGCACCTTCAATGTATTCGTTCAAAATTTATTTAGATTTCTATGTTATTGATATCTCGTCCAGTATGGCTAAAAAAAACATTTACTCATCCATAGCACTTTGTTAATAAAGTTAGGACTTTGATTTTGAAATTGATTCAAAAATTCAAGACGACTAAGGAAATCAGCTGTTTTGCTTCATCGTTCGAACGCTTTGTGGTGTACCAGCGCGTTCCCGGTCAGAAAATGTGATGCAGAGTAGGGCGTCGAATTGGCGGGAGTTAAGGGGCAATTTGCTTATATTTTAAAAGGTCTATTAAACATTTTTTTCGATTTTCTGTCTTTATTAGATCTTCCGAATACGTGGATAAAATTAAATGAAATTATGACTATATCAATTATTCAAAGTTTCATAAAAAAAAATATATCAATAATTGTGACTCACTAAATGTAAAGGAGACATTCATTCAATCTAGTTTCACAGCTAACGATCTGCATATAAGAGCCTCATCTTTAGTATTTTTTAAATTAAAGGTAAACAAGTAGTTTTTATAATTTCCAAGATAGTTTCATTGTTTAGTTCGATTACTACAAACGAACGTTATAAAATATTACTACAACATTAAAATTAAAAAAAAAAACTGAGAATCTAAATAAAACTCAACATACCTGATCTCCCATATCGTATCCGTTGGACTGAAAATTTGATTGTGGTATGCTCAGTGATAAATCAACGTTTTCTGATCGCTGAAAAGAAGAAAAAACATATTAATGTAAGCCAAAAGAAGTTAAATTGCTATTATACTACAGTCTTGTCCAAATTGTATTCATAAATACCAAAGATCATAACAAACAGCAGAAATAGTAACGTTTACTCATCTTTTTTTTAGTTTACACTATAGTTTGTATATCGTACATAACAACTACATAATACATTGTGGTTTTGTAAGCAAAATTTTTTTTCGAACTACAATTTTTCTGGTAAGTGTAATCTTAGTTTCTCGAACGAATCGGGATACTTCTTGAACTGTCATAGCCAATCATTTTATATTAACTAAATCCTAACGGTTCTTAAAGGCGATTTACGTCTAACAAATGCAATCGCCTTTGTTTATAATCAAATTTATAGTATCCATGGTACTCAACACGGAAATCTTGTTCCAGTAGGTCACAATATACGAACGCAATAATTGAAAACAACGAGGCAAAACGTGCGAGTGAATTGGTACGAGTAAAACAATCATTCGAGATATTTACGGCTAAGGGAACATAATTTATTATCAATTTCATTAGCTTAATGGTCGTATATCTTACTTGAGAAAAATGGTTGCCGTGACAGTGCAGGTTTGTAATAACTGGTTATAAATGGTTGACATAATTCACTGACAGACGTAAATAAATTTTAATCAAACAAATATGTTGAAATACGGCTTGAAAAATGTATTTGTTTCGCACATATTTGTATATGTACCTACAAGCTAAAGTGGATCTGAATTTCACAAATGTTACTAAAAATTTGTACTTTATTGTAAAATATATGTCGCTTTGTATTAATTAAATGAACATAGAATTAAATTTGTGTCGCTTCATGAAGGCAGGCCATATTTTTTATTTTTGTTAACAGCGATATCAAAATAAATACATCCTTGATAATTGGAACAAGTGTATTCTTTGCTCCGGAACAATGCAATTCATCAAAATTAATTCAGCTTTTATCTCAAGAAATGACACTTAAGATGGGCTCAAAATTAAAAGAGTTGCTTATACAATGCAATATATCGTAGTAATAAATAATGGTGAGAGAAAATTTAATATTTATAGTTTGTGTGACAGGTACTAGTAATTTATTTGTTGTCTTCATCGCGATTTATGACGATATATGGTACAAACGACCTTTAAGCTCATTTCAGTTTATTTGACAAGGTTTTATTTCTTCTTGATATCTCCTGTATATTACTTTAATAAGTGACATTTAATATTCAAGACGAAAATGAAACTGACAGCGACAAAGTCCTGAATTATAGACATACAACGTTGTAATAAATATTTAAATACTAACGTTTATTACTAAATATTTCAACGCATCAAAGTGCTAATATTCCTTCAAACTTTAAGAAATTATGAAATAGTAGATCACAATCACATCTACAAATAATATTTTCTTAAATGGTAGATGTACACATATACCGAATATAAACAGGGTTATTCACACAACATTATTGCTTTCGTATTTAGAACAGAATTGTTTATGTTAGTTGTTATGTACAAAAATGTCTTGTTTCAAACCTGTACTTAGAAAAAGAATTTAATGTTAATATTTTTGTATATTTGCATAAACTACCTATAGTACGATCATATTCGATGCAAAGTAATAAATCATTGCCTGTCAAGGGAACCAATGAAGTACGCCTTTAAGGGTTTTACAAATTGAATAATTTCTTTATACATTATGAAGGGACGAGGGGATCAGTTCAGGTCTGGCACCCTTGTTGCTACAAAAATTCCTTTATTCTCATAAACTATTTATTTTAAATGTAATTTATTATAAATCCAATTTGTTTCCTAAATTCCACATATGTGCTACATTTTACCTCTGTACGCGCCATTGTTGTTTACTTGTTTTTTTGGAAGCGCTCTCTAATTGACGGCAAAGCTCGCCAGGTTAGTATTTGACGTATAACCGACCAGTTCGTACACTCGATGCACCTGGGCGACTACAGCTACTACCAGAACACAGTACGTATGCAGCGGTATTTCAGATTTTACATTGAATTTCATTTTAAATTTGAAATGATTTATCTTACGCCTCCTAAAAATGATGACACGATTTTCCTTTAATAAAAGGCCGACAATTTTTTGCTCTACTTTGCATCGTATACGATCCTACTATACTTTCTTAGTATTACAATGATATATGGTTTGATGATCTATCTCTAATAAAATGGAAGATAGACGAAACAAATATGCTAACAATAAAATCTTTTGACTGTTATTATTGGAAATAGACTTACATATTAAGATTTATATCACCGCACACTATTCAAATATGTAAAAATATACAGGGTGTTCTATCAACAAAATATGAAAATTTCGTTTGTACTTATCTCCGAAATGCGACATACTATTCTTTTAAGTAGTTTAAAAATTACAAAAAGGAATCTGTATAACTTTAGGCCATTTTTTTCTATGTAACTGAAAAAGATAAAGGATTTCATTTCTTAGCTAAATTTTTGTTCGAATAAGGATTATTTTCTATTCTTTTGCACAACACACTATACACTAGCACTACAATTGCAGTAATTGATCATCTCAAAGAAGAAAAATATAAACTATGAGATACCACTGGTGATGCAGTGATTTTTTTCCTAAATATAGAATGACATATTTATGACATATTAAAATACAGTTTCTTGAGGCTGCTCATATTATACATTTTTTGTTGTTTACGTAATAAAAGTAAAGTTTGATTATACTTATTATTTTTTATTTGGCAATATAATAATCCTATAATGCTGCTCCTATAATTTCCTAGTTTTTAGTAATTTTTGAAAGGCTGTAACTTCGTGAATAGGTAATGGTCGTATCGAGAAAATTTAAGAAATAAATAAATTATTTGAAAAAAAAAATAAATTTTGAAAAAAATCAATTTTCAAAATTTTAAAAAATATTTTTTCGTTGAATATTTCAAATATCGAGAAAAAAAATTAATTTAAATAAAAAATTTGAAAAAGATGTCAAAATTTTGAATTTTTTTCGATATTTGATGAGTATATGATGCTCAAAATATTTTTTCATCTTAAGATTTCAGAACTAGAATCTTCAAGCTTCAAGATGCTTCTTTTTTTCTCGATACGACCAATATTCACGAAGTCGCTAAAAAAATTTGGAAATTTTTCTGCTTCTTATTAAAGGAAAAAAATATATATATTTTTTTAAGTTTATAGGGAAGGCCAAATTCAAGGTTCAATCTTATAGTGCAAAAAAAACATAGTTTTGCAGCGTTGCAGAAATTTGCCATCTCAAGATTTCAAATCTAGAATCTTCAAAGCTTCAAGATTTTATTTTGTTATTTACGAAGTCCTTTCAAAAATAACAAAAAATGTGGATTTTTTTCTGCTCTTTTAATTTTTTTGCCGAGTTTACTTTAAGAGTAAAACTGTCCAAATTTTTTAGTTTTGGGGGTCTCAAACAATTCGTAATATTACCGCAATTGAATTAATCTAGGCTCATCCATTGCCACATAATCAGTCGGAGTGGTTTCCCTGTCCACGAAATCCACCGGCGTTTCCCCAACTTCAACCTCACCCACAATATATTTTAAAGTTACGTTCACTAATGAAGCAATAATAGTTTTAACGTAAAAAGGCAACGTTAAACAAAAACTCGGATTACGGCCCGTCGCGAAATTAACGTTTTAATTCAATGGCGGGGATTATTGGTAGAAGATACAGCGCGGATAACTAGATTACAATCCATTTAGCTGATCAGCGCCGGGGTGATACTGCGAGGTGACAATGCCGCCATTGCAAAGTGGTCATTTCCATTGCTGCGTAATCTGGGGATTACGCCGTTTTCATAACACCACTTTAAACTGATAACTGTAGTATGAAATTGTCATTGTTTCGTCGGAACGCCGTAAATAATGCGATTAAATACAGCGACCGGCAATAATAACTGGAAGAATAAATGTTTTCGCTTTTCATGATAATCAGATTTTGTGTGTTTTCGCACTCCCGCTCGGATATCCTGATTAAAATAGAAATAATAACGTGCGTACAAATAACATCGGTTTTACGGCGCTTCGGGTTTCAGTAACATAAATAAAACTGCTGTTTTTATAATCGCTTGGTAGCTATTTAAATTCTAACCTTAAAATGCGTACAGATATTTTAAACAGCGGTAAATATAGAACGTAATATAAACAACAGGTTTTTCTGAAAAAAATTGAAAATAAAAAGAGTCAAAATAAATAAGCCTCATTTTGTAATAGAAAACTTGTTGAGAACCACTGACTTTACTAGCATATATCAGCTATACAATGTTGCCGGTGTTACATAGAACTCTTAAGATCTAACTTTTTATATGAAAAAGGAAGAAAAGAGTTAAATAAACTCTGAAATACACGGTGTCCCACGGTGACGAAACATTAGATCCATTATTCACAGTCTATCTCGAGCTCTCATGGTGTAAACAAGCCTTTGCTCCGACTACAAATATCATAATAAAATGCTCTATTCTTTATTATTTTAATTTAAGCAATAAAAATATATATAACGAACGTTGACTTTATTGATGCCCGAGCGCCTTAGTTCATTTCTGGTTGTAATGAGGCACATGGTCTAATTCTGAGTCAAAGTTTTCACAACGTGCTCATGAGATTTTGAAACTACTCTACTATGCTTGAATAAACTAGTCGAATGAAATAATAAGCCCTGTAAACTTAAAAACTAACTAACTAACGTTAACTAATTAACGTTAACCTTTACTGCTGCTATTACATGAACTCAATGTAAAGCTTTTTTTAAATAAAAGTTTAAACCTTTCTTTAATTGTTTCTGAAATCCCAGTCCGATACGTCCATTAGTTAGGTAAATTTAACGTTATAAAAAAGCTATCTGGGAACAAAGATATGTATGTGAATTCTTTTTTTTAATTACCGTAAAAATATGCTTTATTTGATGCAAAAAGAGCGAATTCCCGAGCGGCTTTTGCCTGCCCCTTTTTATTTTTCGATACGTTTCTTTGGA